CCGCATAAACTGAAAAGAACTGCAGGTCAAGCATGCACATCCGCACGCTTGCAGACAGTGTGACGAACATGCAGCTGCTTCCTGTGTGAACATCACCCGTGTTCACAGTGGACTTTCAGCTCATCTAAATATGATTATCATGTGTGAAGCTGACCTCACACGAGGCTTCAGTGGCAGTAGGCCACCACCGGAGGGAGCCACGTTCCTAAACATTTAACTAGTTAAAACAAATTCAACTACAGTAATCACAAAAGTTCAAAATTGTGTGCTTTTTCATCCATCAATCCATCCATCCATCAATTACCTTTTACCCGCTTTTTCCTTTTTGGATCACGGGAGTCACTGTGCAACAGAAGGGGTACACCCTGGACATGTCTCCAGTCCATCACAGGGACACATGGAGACAAATGAGACAAACAATCATTCACTCTCTCACTCACACCTAGGGACAATTTAGAGTTACCAATCAGCCTAACATGCATGTTTTTGGACTGTGGGAGGAAACCGGAGTACCCGGAGAAAACCCACACATGCACAGAGAGAACATTTAAACTCCACACAGAATGGCCGGGATTCGATCTGGCGACCTCTTCACTGAGAGGCGGCAGCTCCACCGCACCACTGTGCTTCCTGATTTTTCATCCAAAACATCAAAATGGAAACTACTCTCACAGCTGGAATTTGACGTGAACAAAGGAGGTTAAAATTATACAAATAAAACAAATTAAAGCCTTTAAGTTGACAAATATTAAGGTGCTTAAACAATCTGACAGTTTATATTTACAAATAGTGTGAATGCTGATTTAATCGAACTACTTCTGGCAACTTTGTACCATTTTAGCTGTTTATATATTTTAAAACATTCAGCTCATTCTGATGGGTGCTATGACTTTTGGTCTTAATAATTTTTACACTTTTCAAAATATTTACTTTATTTATTAATGTTTTCCTTATAGAAATACATTGAGATATCTTTCAAGTCCATCAGAAATGTTCTTCTCTTTAAAGTCTGCTTCAGTATAACTCTGTGCTACATTCAGCTTTTTAGCTAGCATTTTGCTACTTCTTGCTACATTAAGCTTGTAGCTAGCCATTGCCTCTTTTAGTTTTATGTTAGCGTTCACATCTTTGAGCTTTTAGTTAGCCTTTGCCACTTTTAGTTTGAAAAAAAAATCCTTTTACAACTTTTAGCTTCTAGCTAGCTTTTTGCTACTTTTAGCAAGCCATTTGATACCTTTGGCTTTTATCTGGCATTTTGCCTTTTGTTTTAGCATTTAGCTAGCATTTGCCATGTTGAGTTTTTAGCTTTGTTAATTGTATATTTTTGATATCTGTTCTAGCCTTTTGGTATTTTTACCAACCATTTTCCTGCCAAAGGTTTTAGCTAGTGTTTGACTATTTTTAGCTAGCATTTTTTTTTACACTTTTTGTTTTTAGCTAACTTTTTGTTGGCAAGTGTACTCTGCTTTAGCTTAGCTCTATTAGCAAAAGAAAAACAACAACTTGACTTTATTAGCAAACTTTACCAAACATTTAGCCCTCAGCATTTTTGCAGGAAATTAGATTTTGAAAACACAGAAGTTACATCTAAGCTCCTTTTAAAATAGCTAATTCTGCTTCAGCTGCTTTGAATTATATATCCATCCTGAATTGTTCATCTCTGTAACAACAATAACTGAGGAAAAAAAATACTTGCTTTTGTAATTTATTTGTTCCCATAGCTTTTTTAAATTTAATGTATCTGTATTTGGATATTAGAAAGGTGGCATTTATTCCCAATTTGAGACAATATTTAAAATGCTTATGAAAACAGAGGTTGTGTATATGTTGAGCCAAACTATCAACTCAAAAGTTGATCAGCTATAAAGATACTTTTTTTTTTTTTTTTTTAGCAAAGATCCATGTTTAAATGAAGAAAATATTGATCAACTAGTAAATAAAACTTCAAAATTTTAGCAAAATGATTTTGTGCTGTAATTTCCTCTTAAAGTTTTTGTGCACAAATCAGCTCTGATCACTGCATGTCTCTAACTGTAACCTAATCACTTCTGTTGACTTAATAAACTTGTAACAACAAAATAAAGGAGAGTTGTTATTTCTGTCAAGTCTCAGAAATAGATCATGTGCTGTTCTGTGCACATTTGTAAAAAGTCATGAATTTATAATAATTTAAGTAATTTCAAACTTGTAGAGTCTTATTATATGGTAGTTAATTGAGCTTTCTAATTTTTCACATGAAAAAAAACATCTAATTTGTCAATTTTTTGTAAAGATTTTACTATTTATATCAGTAATTCCTATATTACTATACATACATAATACATTGCAAAACATTTTGTTGTCGCTGTTTCTTGTTTATCCATCCTGCAGAGAAAATGTGATTTGTTGTGTTTGTGTCCGTTTTTTTTTGCCACCATATGCTGAGCCATAGGCCTGCTGTGGTGCTTCAGAACAGATTTCTTTGTCTTATTCTCTCCAAACTTGGCCACTCGTTTCTGTTTCGGCTGAAATAGACTCTGAACAGCTGAGGCAGGTGATTCATTTGTTTACCAGGAGCTGGCTGTGGGATTTGATCATATTTCAGAGGGTTTTTTATGACAAATGAGGGCCGATGATTGGGTGGAGCAGATGTCTGTCCATGCAGTGTAAAATTGAACCATACAGCCATTTGTTTACGCATCACAGGTTGCTGGTGCCTATCCCCAGCTGTCACTGAGAGAGGCGGAGTTCACCCTGGACAAGTCAAAAGTCCATCACAGGGACGCATAGACAAGCAAGACAACCATGAACGCTCTTTTTCACTCCTAGGGACAATTTAGAGGTAACGATGAACCTAACCAGTTTAGTTTTGGTCAATGAAACTGGGGTACCTGGAGAAACCCCACTCATGCATGAGAAAACGTAAACTGCACACAGAAATGCCAAGAGGCGAACCTGAGAACTTCTCGCTGTGAGGCGACAGATCTAACTACCGCTCTAATGTGCCACCCAATGTTTAAACATTCAGAATAGAGTTCAATATGAGCCATTTCCCATTTGCATTTTTATTGCTACAAATTTTCACAGTGATGAGATTATTGCTTGCATAGAGAATCTGCTTAAAGACAGATTTAATGGAAGTCAATTCATGCGGAGTTGTAGAAACGTTGACAGGATTTAATATTTATTATATAGGGTGAAATACAACAGATATGGCAACTTTGTAAGGCTGCTTTTTGTAAGTTTTCATAATATCTTATTGTCTAGGATTTTGTCTTCTCTAAGATGAATATTTAAGGGTATTTATTTTATTATAAATGTCCTCGTGAGGTGTCCAAAGAAAAACATGAAACTTAAAATTGAAATTCTCTCAAGTTGTATCAATGTTCACCTCATGTTTGGTTAGGTTTAGACATCAAAGATTTTCATTTATGGTAATTGAAAATCAAGGTGTGATTAAAAAAAACACAATCTATTAATTCAATCTGGATAATGACACAGAAATACAACTTTTGGTTTAAAACAAATGGAAAAGAAGGAAAGATAAAGAGGTGAAATTGGGTTAAAACAACAGTTTACTTCAGCAAACTGAATGGCAACGTTGAGAAGGTGTTTGGTAAAATAATGATGATAATGTGATAAACACGTTATCACACTCAGTATGAAAAAATGTTTTTATCCATTATAAAACATTAAAAGGTGAAAAGGCTTTTCCAAATCATTTGTGAGTCGGCAAATATTTTTCTGCCTCCAAAGAATTACCATGGCACGAAGGCCTCTTTCCAGTTTTAGCACCTATTTTGACAAGGAATGACTGGATATTCTAAACATACAAGCTTTCACTCAGTTTGTTTGTAATTTGAACCAATTAATTGCAACAATTATCTCAATTGAAGTCAGATTAAATCCAACTAAATGGTTAGAAATTTGACTCATCCTGCTAATTACCATCTAAACCCTCACCGCAGCATTTTGGATCAACTGGAGGCTTTTCAGACCAATTTGTTTTTCTAATTAAAAAATCTTGGAATAGTCCAGAAGTGATAAAAAATAATCTGCCAATACGACTGAAGTCTGCACTTTAAAAAAAAAAGTTACACCAGTGATTATTTTCAGATTCTCAGTTTTCCAACATTTCTTTTTTCTAATGCATGACACACAGTTTTGTTAAATAAACAACAAAAGTCTAACTTAAATTGATTGGAAATAAATATTTTAGGGACCTAAATGAAAAGCAAGCAGATTGTTTAGTGAATGAAAACCTCAGTGATAATACAGATGAAAATGTTAAAATCAGAAGTGTTTCAACCCTATCTTTATCA